ATTCGGCATTTTAGAGAATAATATCAATACAGATTTCACAGGAGTAAGTTTCCTGATTACCAGGGGCGGGACAAAATATAAATATGATAATATACTGTTATCCTGGCTCTTGTGATACAATTATCAAGGTGCTGGTGCTAAATAATGATTCCCTACTAATTTGAACCACCGAGTCAACACTTCCAATCACATCGCAGTGATTTAATACATTTATCCTGCACTTCACCTTTTAAGTGACATTTTCTATTCTTCAGCTAAACGGTTATCCAGATGCATTATTATACGATTGTCTCGCTATGTATCAATTATTGCAGAATCCTTGTATTGTGATGTTTAAGTTACCATGGTATCCTATCCTATAGGAGTTTATTTTATACTGTCAATCAGTTCGAGTAAGGTCTGCTCAGCTGAGATGCTTTATGACATGTTCAGAGTCTTTCAATTTAAAAAAACATTATCAAATATAAAAACTCGATTGTTGTAAAGGTGCCATGGAGGAGCTGTACAGTTGCGCAGGTATGTGCAAGATGGCAGTGCCTCAAAATAACACACAGTGTGCAGTGTTAACAGATACAATATATTAATGGGCGCTACACACTGGTAGAACAGCCATCATTTTAAGGCGAGTATTGTTTCTGTAATACTTATTAAAAAGGAGTCTTTATCAGAAAAGTACAGCCTGATGGACGTATTTAAATCTGTCGGTCCTCTCACTTGTAATGGAAAATGTAAAGTGAAATTGGTGTTTCGGGCTTGTTGAAGATGATGTATGTCCACCAGTTGAAGACGGATGCATGGAGCTCATTCTGTTTCGTATTGTGGTTGTTTCTTTTTCGGGGTTTCCACACCTGCATGTTGCCATTCTAGGTGTGTTCTCCTTCCCCTGACATCTGTGTCTGTAATCAAAGACGGAGTGCTGGAGAAAAAGCACACCGCTAGAGAGACGGCCTGAAACACCTGGAATGACATTGCAGAGGTGAAAAACCTCTCAGGTCGCCCCCAGCAGTACTCACCTGGGAGCTGATGTGTGAAGTTGGGGGTTTAGTGTGTGTGTGTGTGTGTGTGTGTGTGTGTGTATGTGTATGGGGGGGGGTGTTGAAGCAGGTGATGGAGTTTAGCAGGGTGTGTTCAGGGTTCAAAGAGCAGCCCTCAGAGCGCATCACGTCTTATTCTAACGAACGGGAAGGATAGGCGTTCCTGCCGTTTGATTGGCTCCCCATCTGGCTGCCAAGGCAACCCCTCACCCGTCCTTCCTCCCTGTCTCCTCCCTCACTCACTCACTCCCTCCCTTCCTTCCTTCCTTCCTTCCTTCCCTCCTCCCTTCCTCCCCCTCTCCGGTTCCACAGCTAGGCTCACAGATGAGTCGCGCTCAGACAGGTGAGATGGCTCATGAATATTTATGTGGTGGGATTTCATTCCTCCTGCCTCTGGCCCCTCCCCCCTCTCCAACGCTGTGCTGCGTTTGTCCTTCACGGTAAGAGGCAGCGTCCTCGCTCCTGTCCCTCAGGTTAATCTGCCTACTCTCTAGTCTGTGTGTGTGTGTGTATGTATGTGTATGTATGTGTGTGTATGTGTGTGTATGTGTGTGTATGTGTGTGTTTGTATGTGTGTGTCTGTGTGTGTGTCTGAGTGTGTTTGACTGGTAAGTAGGTTTCCCCCTAGTGAGTGATGAGAAGGCAGACCTGTCACGAGGGGGCCCACTGAGATCGAGAGCTCCTAACACCTTTCATACCCCCCCTTCTCTCTCGCTCTCGCTCTCTCTTGCAGAGTTTATATGTGTGAAGCTGAGAGAAAGCTTGTGCTCAGTTTGATGACTTATCTACATCTCGGATCCTAAAATAAAAACTATATAAATCCAATAGGTGCATCTTCATGTGTTTTGACACATTTGTTATATAAGGCAAACTGGAACTCTAGAAAGTTGTCATGTTCATTGTTTTCATAATTGTCAGAACCTAAATGGTTCATTGGAAAGTTACTGAATATCATATGTCATATTTATTTCATTTGAATTCAACGCGCCTGTTTTTTGTTTGTCTGTTTGTTTCCATCTCCCGCTCCAAGCTTATAAATCTCATATAAGAAGTTTTTTTTAAGCTGGATATGAAACAAACTAAAATGAATACTGATGCCTCTGTATGACCGGCAATCAGAGACAAGATTGATCATCCCTATATATTGATTTCTAATGTCTGGAGCAGCTGCTGCCAGAGAATCCGCCCTTTGTTGACACTATGAATGATAGGAGGAGATTTGTTCTTGAGAAAGTTCTTAACTAACTTTGTTTTTCTAGAGGGTAAAAAGACAAACCTCGTTACAGTTGACTCCTGGTGGACTGGTCGTGTTTTTCCATCTTTTTTAAGACTGAATTGGTCATAAAATGATGTTAAAACAAACTTTATTTGTTTGAATGTTTAGTTTGGCTGTTTGCTGTAGGAGAACAGTCTCTGTTAAAAAAATAAAGAATCTATAAATTGATTAATGTCAGGAATTGTAAATTAAAAGTGGCACCTTGAGGTGAGAAGTCACATGATAGGCTGTAATTCCCTTTTTCCAAATGTCTTCAAGTAATGTAAATCTTAAATTAGCCTATAGTCATTTGATAGCAGTTTCTTTAAGGTAACCTGACAGACTTTTTGATTAAGTTTTATACTTGTACTGTATATAGCCTTGGCCTGTATGCGTTTCTTTTCTGCAGTTGTCCCAGATCAGAGATTACCAAGAGAGCGAGATCCACCCCAATCAAATCTCCTCCCAACGTGTATGTGGTGGGAGGATCAGCCGTGTTTCATAAATATATGTACATACTGTATTTGTTATTCAAATCCAAGGATAAAAAAAAAAAACCCTGTGGTGGATGGGTTTTAGTCATGCTGCAAAAAGCAACAAGACAAGGGGAGAGCCATGTTTCTGTGACAGAGAGTGGAGAGCGCAGAGAAAGAGAGAAAGTGGGCGCCCCTCTTTATGCTTATTAGCTCGGCATTAGCTCGTAGCTAAGCACATCGCTTGTGGGGAACTGTATCATAATTGTACCATTTCAGTCTGCTGCTGCTGCCACCCACACCCAATGCAAATATGGATAGGATCTGTTTATAATTAGCATACCTGTTAAATGTATTTGCTAGTATTGCCTGGAGAACACAGCCTTTTGTTTGCTGGCAGTTGTTTTTGTTCTGCTATCATCATGGGGCTGTTCCAGGAAAGGGTTTCTCAGAAGACATTTTAAAGCATACATAAAAACAAAGTGGAGATCATAGGAATGTGTTTCACTCTTTGCATGGCGGAGAAGGTGAAAGGCAAAGCAGTGTTTTTGTCAGACCTGGATATTAGAGAACTTGCGCTGTGAGGCCCTTTAGTAACAATCTAGTGGGAGCCAAAGCAGAAGCAAAGCAATGCTAGCCTAATTAGCTGACCTGATTACTTATAGAGGCTGGATAAAGTATGGACAAGAATCATCCTCTTATGGCTTCATCACAGAACAGCACATGGCATCAAAGATTTTGTCTTCATTAGTTTGAGTTAAAGAAAAGCGGATGAAAAGAATCTCTGTTAATGATCAATAGTATCAAAAAGTATCGAAGCTCTAAAAAAAATTCAGGTCTTCATTCTTATTTAAAGCCCAAATGTGCTGCGAGAGATAACAGGAAACACTGTCCAAATTGCACAAATACGTTAACGTGGCCAAAGTATATAAACTCCTGCAAACTCCTGCACACCAGCAGCACTTTACCTCCATTTTTGGAAATTCAAAACAAGAAATTACCTAATATTGGTTACCTAATTGTGTTGCCATGGTATCAAAGCAGGGAATGATATCATTGCATTTTTACCAGAATCGAATCTAAGTATGAAAATCTGTCACCTTGACAAGCCCAAAACAGAAACTCCCAAGCAAAGCCGCATCACAGCCTCCCTTTACACACACTACTTGAGTGCCATCCTTCATCCGTCACTGTGTGCCACAGCTATCTGTTATGGCTGAAGTAAACATTAAGGCCATCAGTCTGCTCTGTGCATGGAGGTGGTTGCCTCCATTTGTCCGTGTCCAGTCAGCTGCGGAGAAACGGTGATGGAATCCTGACAGATTGTCTGTGTTTTGGAGCGTGTTGTTTTCCTTGCCCGTCCATTTTTCTCCTCCTAGCCATGTTTGCCACGCATCATCACTCTCTCTCTCTCTCTCTCTCTCCTTCTCTCTGCTTCTCCCCCCCCCCCCCCCTTGCTTGCCTCATCATTTCTCAGAGGAACGTGAGCGATGGGTGGACATCCGGTTACCTGCGAGGACAAACTGTAGAAACACAGTACTTGTTATTACACCATATGAAGCTCCACACAAAGACACATCACAACTGGATAATTTAATTCTCCTGCTCTCTCTTATTCTCTCTTCATCCCCCCACCACCACCTCCTTCCCCACCTCCCCTACCTCTGTCTCCATGTCATTGTACGCCAGCCAAACTTGTCTAATCAGCAGATTCGACCAAAAATAATTGGCGATGGCCTTGCTGCTAGCGCGCGTCGTGCTGTATACAGATAGGCAAAGGAGCACTTAATATTCCAAGCAGCTCGTGCCTCTCCTGTTCTCTGTGATATCTGACCTCTTTTGTCTCCTGCTCGGCTTGATGTTGATTTTGGAGGGCATTGTTAGCCCGAGCGCTGTGATTGGAAGAGGGGTTGTCGGCGAGGGGGGCTGTGGTTGGTTGGGTTAAAGTAGGAGGCTGATTTGCATAAAGGCTTAGCCCAGATTTGGAGCCACTCAGCGAGATCTGAGGAGAAGGGCCCGAGGGCCACGAGGTAATCATCCATGGCCTGTCACAGTGCTGTCATCCCTCTGTGTATTTGTGTTTCTGTCTGTCTGTCTGTCTGTTTCTGTGTGTCTGTGGAGGAGCGGGAGTGTGTTGTGTCTGCAGCTTTGTGTTTGTTTGCATTTTGTGTGCATCATTGTGGAGAATCTCATTCATACCCCCCCCTTCTTTTTCTTCTTCTCTTTATGGTTTTCCAGGAAGACTGGTCCGAGCCAAGCGGATGGTAGAGGCAGCCAATCCTACAGAATTTGAATACACAGAAGGCAACATACCGATGGAGTGGGACGGTAAGTCTGGACTGCAGCATCGCTGGTACAAACCTTCACCATCACTATTAGGGATAAGTGACAATGTTAACATAAGAGCTACCAAGTGAAGTACACAAAGTGCTGCACACATAAGATGGAATAACAAATTCATGGCAGCATCTATTGGGGCCTAGTCTAATCCATTGATTTTCTCTGCTTTTTTTTTCATACCACAAGATGGGGGTGGGGGAAAAGCGTATTCATGAGTTTATCAAAGACGCCTTCTGCTGGTGTTATACAACCGTACCATAAAATAGTGTTTCGAATTTCTTACAACTGGATACAAACTGTTCCCTCTGTCTCAGACTGGCTTTATCCACCTTAAACCCCTCATCCTGCTTCGCCCCATCCCTCATGCATTTTCATCAGGATGCAAATAAGAAAGGGATAAAAGAGGCCCAGAATCCCTGCGCTAGCTGGAGGAAGAGTTAGAAAATCTCTCTCTCTCTCTCTCTCTCTCTCCCTCCCTCGTTCCCTTTAACCTGCTCTGCTGTGCAGCCAGCTCAGCCAAAATAGAGCTCCTTAAAGAGAGAAAGAAAAAAAAAAAAGACAGAGAAAGATGACAGACAGACACAGCTCTCCTCAGGAGGAGGAAAGAGGGACAGAGGTAGTGATGGGAAATGACAGTGTGTGTGCTTTCAAATTCAAAGATCAGAGCCGATCCACTCTCTCTCTGCTGAGACTCGGCGCTCAGCGGCCCTGCTCTGCTTCCACTAAAGCACTATCAGTGTTTTGAGTTTATATTGTGCAGAACTAGTTTTACCGTTCTGCAATAGTTTCTTTTCTAAGTAGAATGAAGCAGAACAAAGTAAATAAACCCTGGATACTACCTCCCAGCTAGCTTGAGTACCCGCTGATGCTATAGCTGCAGCCTGTACATATGACTGCAGGTTTTGTTTGTGCCGTGTGTTTGTGTGGGTGTACTCACTCTCCTTTTCTCTCCTCCTCTCTCTAACTCCTCCAGCTTGGATCCGAGGCAGACGGAAAGAGCCCCCCTCGATCGAGGTACGTCCTCCTCCTCCTCCTCCTCCTCCGCTTCTTACCCACAGCCTCCCTGCTGTGCTGATGGTTGGGCTCTGGGGGACTGGTTACAAGGGAGGGAAAGAAGCAAAGATGGAGAGAGAAAGTGCTTTGATTTGTTTCATCTTACAGTTGCAAACTGAATCCAGGAACTTTGGGGGACAGGTGTTAAAATAAACAGCAGCTGAAGTGCATTGATGGCGAGACGGAGAGCAAAGACAAGCCTCTGAACGAGCGGCTCACTGACACCATGTCCTAGTTTACTGTCTTTTTTTTTCCCCCCAGCATCTCAACTTTTTGTGTTTTATTTCTGGCACTCTCCAAGAAGGGGACGGTGAAGGAGTGCAGTTTTTTTTTTCCCCCTCGTGCACCTCTCCCTGGGTTTATTGCTCTTTAAATGTGAGAATGCTGGAAATTATTTGGCGGGCGAAATGTGGGTCTATAGGAAATCCCTTGGAAGGCCAATACCCAGGCCCTCTTTCTATCTCTCTGTGTCCTCTCTCCTGCCAGTGGCCAATGCCATCCCCTGCCTCCGCTGCCAGAACATTCTCTTCCAATTTTCTGCCTCGCGTCTGCCCAATAGCTGCCATCGACAGCTGGACAGTGTTGATGTGGCCAAGGCTTCACTCCCAGCACATTACCCTACCCCTTGTCACGCTCCCTCTCTTCCCAGTCCAAGCCGACATAAATTGATTGGATTAAATCCTGTCATTAACAGGCTGGAAAAGCAGCTCAGTATGTTTGTCTCCCTCCCCAAAGCGGGGCTTTTTGGCCACGGCTCTCCCCGTCTCTTTTCCAGTCCTTCAGTCCTGCCAAAACACGACAGCATAATGCCCAGTCCTGCCTTCTTTTTCTGCTTTCCCAAGCTAGGGAGAGGCTAACATCACTGGACACTCGCTGTGGCTCAAGTGGGTAACTGTTCCACTGGTGGACCGTGTTCAGGTTGTAATTGTTTCCATGAGCTGAAACGATTTGTTTATACTGCGAATGTCCTCCTGTCATGTTAGCTTACCAATCCGTCCCAAGCACTACATTTTTTTAACCTGGGTTTATTAGCCCAGTATAGGTGAGCTGAACACGCTCGCGCAGCGCTAGTAAATGCCCGACTTCATCCTCGGCGGCTTCTCACATTTGTTCCTGGAAGCCACCCAGTGCAACTTCACGTGTCTGCTTCTTAGGACTTCTGAGCAGTCGTCTCTCTTTGCCTTGCCTTCAGACAAAACACAGACAGTTTATTATTGTCCGCATTAATCACGAGGTACGTTTTTGTAGGACTGTTTGTGGGTTCCACGAAATAATCCTGTAGTCTCACTCCATTTTCTTATATCTCAAGCAAACAGACACTCTGACATTTCCATCACCACACATACCGTAGTGGATAATGTCCATAAATGGTCCTTCTTTTCTCAAGTAGTTTTTGTTCTAATGTATTTCATATCTACAATTTGGAGGTTAAAATACACACACCAAACTAATGGCACATAAACCACAGAATAAAAATTCATATTGCAGACTGCAGCGTGGATTATCAAGGTTTTTAAAAGAATGTAATTCTTCTGACTAAAGGTCTAAGAAAGATGTTTCAGGCTTTGGTGTCCTCACAGAAGTCTTTGGTATTCTTTCTTGCCAGAAACAGACAGAAACACAAGTGGCTCTTTTCAGTTTGTCTGGTTTTATGTGGTTGGTGGTTTGGAGACTTTTTTTTTTGCATCTATGAACCGGGGGGGGGGGATTGAAGTGACAGTGGATTGCTTGTCCAGTAAGATGTCTCCTTAATAACTGTGGAGTATCTTTTGGCGCCATCAAACATGAAACAAACACAAGCCAGCCTCAGTAGGTATAAGGACAGTCACTGACTCATTATGGACAAGTGTTTTTTTTTTTTTATCCATTAACTGGGAAATCTGATTCTAACTTGTATCTGAGGACACTTCATGCAGACACAACAGTTATGATAAGAAAATGGTATAAATAGAGGAGCATGTTTGACAAGTATGTTTGAATATCAGTGGATCATGTCGTATATTTCCTCCTGGTTTTCAATCATTCTTTAACATGTATGACCATAAAGTATAGGAGATATACTACATGTCATAACCTCTACAGAATGCCTTGAACATGCGTCTCTCTTTTCCCCCCTGTGTGTTTCACAGGAGCTGCTGAAGAACGAGACATACAGGGAGCAGATTAAAGTGAAAGCAAAGGAGTTGGAGGAGCGAGATCTGGCTCTGCTTGCTAAAGAGTACGAGGAGGGTCTGGTGGCGACTCCTGCAAAGACTTTAGCCACAGGCCACGCAGCCAGCAGCAACTTCGGCAAGCAGGAGATCAGCGAGGAACCCACCAGCACTGCGAACGAGTTCCAGCCTGGATCCTGGATGCCCAATCCCAAGAAATAGACGGAGACATCCTAATGCACTGAGACTGCTGTAAAAATGTAATACAATAAAAGAACCTCAGCAAGAAATGCTTTCAACGTGAAACTGATATTCACTCTTAAGTTTGGACTTTAAAATGTAATACTTCAAACATCTTTATGTTTAATGCAATTTTAGTCAAAAAAAACACAAACTGGATTCTGAGAAACCACCAAAGTTTGATCTACTCAAATCTGACTGAGTAGTCAAATGACCTGACACTATACCTTTCACATTTATTTTAAAATGGATACACAAGTTGAGATAGTTCTGTCCCCTCTGTGTATAAAAGCACAAAAATGACCTCTCATCCTGAGGCCAACTTTAAGTGAATGCCATGATATACTGTTATTAGAAAGTTATTTTTGTGTGTTTTTGTAGGGGCTTTTTATGCCTTTATTTTAGAGACAGGACAGTGTATAGAGTCAGAAACCAGAGAGAGAGAGAGAGAGAGTGGGGAATGACATGCCACATATCAGACCTTAACCTGGACTCACGCTCTCAAGGACTGAAGCCTCTGTACATCAGGAGTGTGCACCAACCATCGCCCCAGGAAAAGGTTTTTTTAATAAAGCAGAGAAACACTGAAATGGTTGTTCTTCCAGTATTGTTTGTACATCGACTTTGAATTCAGTTTACTATCTTAAAGGGATATTGCAAAAGATAATTCTGAATGAATCATGACCATTTTCGTGGTGTAATGATGATTTGTCAGTCGGGAAAGAAATGAAGACAGAAATACAAAATGTTTAAATTGAAGCTGATCAGAGGAAGAGAAATCCAGTATGAGATTATAACTACAGGCAAATGAAACATGTACCGGTAGTTATACCAAATAACGTAACAGCAGGTTATTTGACATTGCAAAGATGAAAAGCGTGACTTCTTTGGATAGCCCGTCGCACAAAAAAAAGTTTCTATCTGTATGTTAAGATGACTGTTAACACTAAAATGAAGTCAGAAATCAGCCAAGGCCTGAGGATGCTCCCATGTGACTTTAAATACAGTTTGTAGTTTCCATTCCTCACTGCTGCTTGTAAATCACCTGTCATTCGAATGGATGATGTTACTGCTTGTTGAGTTGCAGAACAAAGTTCTTTCACTTGAGATTAGAGAGCATGTTTGTCACAGAGTTTCTAAAAAAAAAAAAAAGTTCATCACTGTTAGATCCTCGCTTAACGAGCAGCATGAAGCCAGATCCTGCAGTCTCACTTCTCTGTGTGATTTTCTAAATGTTCACAAGAGATTACAATACCCTGAAAAGCAGATCATTAATACATTTCAAGAGGAAGAAAGGGGAAGTTATGTTTAGAAACATCAGCAAACCTACCTGCCTGTACGTGTAATAATGTGTTTTAACAGCTAAGATCCACACTCACATAGATAATGAAAGTGTTCATTCCATCATACGTTGAACTGATTTGCTTTAAAACGTGATTAGGTTATGCTAATGAATAAAATAAAAGAATCCATCCATTAATAATACTGCTTTGTCCTGTTCTGGATTGAGGGAAGGGGCTAGAGCCCATCCCAGCTGCCATAGAGCCTGAGGCGGGGTACACTCTGGACTGTTCGCCATTCAACCAGCAACACTCACATTCACACCTACAAGCAATTTTTTTGTCATCAATTAACCTGATGAGCATGTCTATGGACTGTGGGAGGAGGGAACCCACGCTTACACAGGGAGAACAGTGATGCTCCTGTCCGACAGGGATTCAAACCAGAACCAGGATCCTCCTCGCTGTGAGGCGACAGCGCTAACCGCTGCACCACTGCACAGCACAAGAAAAAAAAATCTCCGGACATAACTAAATTCACTTGTCAGACTCACACCCTTATTTTTGCAGTTACGCTCATGCAAATGTTGCTGCTCCAGAGCCACGCTTCACTTGGAGCAATTTGAAGAGATTAGTTTTCTTCTCCTTTGAGATAAATCCTCTGTCCATCTCATATTGAAAGCCTAAACACATGTGCCCTGGTTAAAATATAATAAAACATGAGGGGAGGAATACCTTGTATGTGAGCTGAATTTAAAGCATTTGCAATACGTTTTCCAGCCCAAGATAAAATCCACAAACAGGAAATTGAATTTTCTTATCAAGCATGAAAACTTTATTTATTAGAAAGTATTTTGGATATCTGCAAGTAACTTAGATAAATTTCCAGTATGCTCATTACACGGTCAATTCAGCAGAACATGGATGCTAACAATGGAATGCAAGGTGTTGCAGCAGCTGTGCAATATTATCCGCAGAGCTCTGTATAAAAACGTTATACAGATGACCACTGTGCTCTTGCTGACCATAGTCCCATCGGGACGAGCCTCCTCCAGGCAGCACTGTCTGCCTCAGCACTGTTAGGCCTGTGGGGCCAGTGTCCCTCCTCCCACCCCAGACATGATGCAGAGTGGCCCTTTGCTGACAGTAGGGCTGGGACAAAGAAGGGCACCGTGTCATTATTTGGAACAAGGAGGGCTGTGAGCATGGTGGTCTCTCCTGTTTTATTTATATGCCCTCATTCTGCCCTCACAGGCTCAGTCTTTCTTGGTCCTCTTGGCCTTGGCTATGTTTTCCTGACGTTTCTGCTTTTTCTTCTGTTCCCGGTCGCGTGCCTCAATCATCTTGGCGAGCTTCCAGGACAGCAGTGCACTGGCAATGAAGAGGGGTGTGAGTGCCAGGATGACAGTGGTTAGGAAACCGTAGGGGTCTTTCGCAGCCCACTCCACCACGTACTCTGCCCATGCCCGCGCGTCAATCATCCTGGTCAGCAGCGATGAATCTTGATAAAACCCTAAGAGAGGGTACAAGGAGAGAAAGCAGTGAATGGCCGGAGCTGTGGGACATACAACAACAACTAAAGGACCCTATTTAAATAATGAAAGATACCATGAATTGAATCTACTTTTATAGTGTATGCAATTTCTTTATCTCCCCGGTCAAACTGTCAACAGTCATTGAGTGCATACTCTGAAAAAAACTATCAAGAAATTTATTCCATCAGTTTTGAAAGTTGTTTTATTGATACTTTCATTGTTTCCTCAATAACAAATACCAAAAATGTCAGGCTTGGTTACTCTTCTTAGGTTGGGTTCTTGTTTTGCCTGGGTTCTTATCATGGTTCTTGTGATGGTCGGGTTATATATGTCTGTTGGGTGTCGTGTACTTTGGGTTCTTTTCTGTTGAATTGTATTTAATTATTTTTCGTATTTCGCATTTGTTATGTTCTTGCTGTTGTTATGTTCTTCTGTGTTTGGTTTAGTTTGTTTTGTTTTTGCTGTTTGTCAAAGCACTTTGTAAACCTGTGTTTTTAAAAGGTGCTATATAAATAAAGTTATTATTATTATTCTCCATTTCATCGATTCAAATACTGAAAATGCGTTTATTGATTAATTATGAGAAAAGAGAAGCTGGCAGAGTTACAAATGACACTACACACCAAAAATGACTTCTAGACGTATAGACTTGAATCAGATGTAACCTCAATGTCTTATCAGTAATACCTAAAGTAAAAGTTACAGTATCACCTCACAGTGATGCAACTATTGAACTTCCCTCTGGATCGATAAAGTATCTATCTATCTATCTCTAACTAAATGTAACGATTTGCCAATCCCAACTTGAAGGGCCATTTGATGGCATAATAATAACTTTATTTATATAGCACCTTTTAAAAACACAGGTTCACAAAGTGCTTTGACAAACAAGAACAAAGCAAACTAACAAGAACATTAACAACAGCAAGAACAAACAAATGCAAAATACTAAAAATAATTAAATACAATTCAACAGAAAAGTACTCATAGTGCACGATACACAACCAGACATATATAACCCGACCATCACAAGAACCATGATAAGAACCCAACAACACGAGCTGAGACCAAGAGGAACCAAAGATTTTTTTTAAAAAGATGTAAGAAACTAAAAGAGCTAAAAGCAAAATAAATAAAAAGATAACAGCAATAAGAAGGTAAGAGCAGTAAAAGAAATAGAAACAAGTGGTTAAAGGATCACAAAAAAACAATAATATTAATAAAAATAAAAAAGTAAATATAAATATGAAACATAAACAGACTAAGTAAGATAAGAAATCACCAAGTTAAAACATAAGGAGTTAAGATAAGAGCATAAAATAAAGGAACAGTAAGAAGTAAAAGAAGATAAAAATAGTCAAAGCAGGATCATAAACAGGTGTGTCGATGGGTCTACTATCTTTACTGTATTTATTTTTATATATCCTACAGTCCTCTCCTATTTAGAGGAGTCATTATCAGCTGTTCTCTGTCACCACTGTGTCAAAAAACCATTGATTGTAGTCACATTAACACCTCGTAAAACAAACAAAGCTGTAACATTAACTATGATTATTAACTTTAATCACAAAGGGCGTTACAAATGTCTACACATGTCAACAGGTTATCACAGTTATACGCAGTGGAATAATACTCATGGCAAATCTAATGATCGGTTGTGTTTTATGAAGCCTCTACATCTTAAAGATTCCTGTTCGAGGCTCTCGACCCTCCCGCTGCTAGCATCCGTTAGCTACACACGAGAGATAAAACCATTACAAACACTCGACTGCGATCACAGCCCAGTTTAAATCAGCAGAAACTGATTGAATATGTTCATACACACAATCTGTCCCTCTGATAAGATGTGTATTTCAAAGTCGTCGCTGAAACACTCGTGTTTGTTTATCCCACCGTTAGCAGAGCGAGCTAACGTCAAACCGGCCTAACTTTGCGGAACCACGGCATCAAGCGAAACATCCGACACAACGAGGCAAATTCATCCAACAAAAAAAGAACGATTTCATATTTAAACGATAGATTTAAATTTAAATTGTGTTAAAAATGAGTTAAGCACGAAGAAAAACTTACACAAGCGCAGGGATTTAATCAATATCCACGATAAACTCCAGATCCTCCCTTGTTCCAGGAAGTGTAATTGGTGTGGTCGCTACTTACCGCTTGCTCGTGATTGGCTATGACGCAATCCGTACAGACATGGGAAATGTAGTCCATTGGCCTTTAAAACGGATTTAGTTACCAACAACGAGTCCGTATTAAAGATAAAGATAAAGATAAACTTTATTGGGGAAGGGGAAATTTGTGCATTACAGCAGCTCCAGAAAACAGGGGACGGGAATATACTTGTAAAAAATAAAAATAGAAGTTAAAAACAGATCAAACATATTTACATCATTTAAATTAAAAAAGGCTCTGCCAACATATTGACTCAGATAACTTCGTGATAAAAACAGTAATATACTCATAAACAGCCTTTCTTTCTTTCTCTCTGCTGAACAATGGATGAAAGCAAAAGCATCCTGCAAAATACGTTTGTAGTCTTTCATTTTTTATTGTAAAAGATTTTGTATGGCTGTGAACATGTGGCATAATGTAAGGTTGCTGGGTGGGGTGGGGGGATAGTGAAAGAATGAAAGCCTTTAGATTGTATTTTATTCAAACTGCAGAATTTAAAATGATAACTTTTGTAATTAAATTCTTATATTGTTTTAATCAAAAATAGATTGTAAAAATAAGGTTCCTCAAGGAGCGAATTGATTGGTTTAAATGAATATGCTTTAAAAAAAAAAAAGTTTATTGGGTAATTTAAAAGTAGCTTGAAATACTAGCTATGGATTGACCATACAAAAAACTCCTTGTAATACACAACACAGTCCACTCTGTCACTGAGTAGACTCAGATGACATTGCAGAAACTTTTGATTATGCGCAGAACTTCTGTGTCTAAAGCATTATGCAAACAGGGCAATAACTGTGTTTAAAATGGTCCTCTGAGAAAGATGACTAACATAACAAAAGAGGACCTGCTGGCTTTGTGAACTTCCTGTGGGGAAGTATTGAAACCAAATCAGGTTAGGCCACATCTGCTCCGTCCATACGGCATGGATCACTTTCAGAGCAGTTCAAAGGCCAGCCTTTTAGACTTACTCACAGAGGACGGAGAGGCACAGCTGGGAACACATGCAGACGCGTTGCAAACACACAATGGTTTATCAGCATAGTTTTGGCTAAGTTTTATAGACGATTTAGAAAAATATTCACAATCTGGTGGCAATTCTGCTATACGCTATAATTATTAGCTCCTGCTTCATGTCAGGCGGGAAGTACCCTGGGGGTCTGCTACACAGCCGCACCCTAAACCCCTGATGACTATTTGACTCCCACAGAAGTAGGCCCCCTTTTCCTGGCACGGCTATGAAACTAACATTATCAACAGACAGGGAGGAGTACCGTAAAATGGCTGCACCACAGTTTATAGTTAACAAGCTCCACTAGTGCGTGTGTGTGTGTGTGTGTGTGTGTGTGTGTGTGTGTCATAATGGTTACAAGAAAACCACTGGTCTGGCCAGACCATGAGGAATTCTGAACATCCTTGATTTCCATTTTCTTTTTGCAAGTTGATAGACACAATTAAAGTGAATCGCCTAAAGAGCGGAGAACGTGCCCCATGAGCTCTGAAAGGTTATTCCACAATATAGAGTTGACCTTTTCATTTGAGAAACTGAAAAAGGATGTTGGAGACACTTGTTTCCAACTCTCCTTGCAGCTAGTATTTCCATTCTAATATCTCAACATCTAAATCTATCCCAAGCTAACCTTGATGAATTATTTTTCTCATACCAACAGGGGGCTGCCTGACAAGCCTCAAAAAAAGAAAAAAAAAAGCATCCTCCAGTGTATGTGCTTGGTGGGCTATACTATGCAAAATAGCCCACTGATCTTCATGTGCAAAAACTGTGGAGTGACTCTTCAAAATAAAGATAGCCGATCTGTGTGTAGGCCTACCTGGCTATATGTGTGTGTGTGTGAGAGAGAGAGAGAGAGAGAGAGAGAGAGAGAGGGTAGGCCTATACACAAGGTAAGCAAGTGCTATAAAAGCTGAGCTAAATGACTGATTGGTGAATACAGAGGACAAGCATGTCCAGCTCTACGTCGTTATGTTCCTCCTCCCACGCCCTGTCTGTCTTTGACAGCTGAGAGTCCTTTTAAGAATCGAAAACAACCATCACGTTGTTATTGAAGAAGCTGGAGCCCGGGGCTCAGGCTCTACAAAGAAAAAAAGTCAGTCTTCTTGCCCCCTTTTACCCCTGTGGGAAACTACGAGACCGCCCCTGGATTAAGTCCCCGCCTTTTAAACTCAAATAAGAAGGAAACTTCAAAGGCCGTCGGCCGCCGGGGCTCCGCCCTCGCGCTCCCGAACGGCCTCACAAAGGATTTGCCGACGTTCGGGAATTCCGCCTCCAGTTCCTTTTATAGCGCCACTCGTGCGCTGGCTCGGTTCCAGGATCCCGCCCATCCCGGTTACTTTGACAACACAAAGGACTTCACGGAACTCGCAGGCGCCGCCTCCTTTTCCAAATAAGGGCAGTCTCTCCATGTACGGCAAACAATCGGTGCGAGATTGCCCTTTTCTCTTCCTTATCCCGTTTATATGATCGGAGAGGAACTGCGCTTCAGGTTGGAAGCGGTGCGAACATGGCCGAGCGAGTCCAGCAGCCCCCAGCCAAGCGGCTCTGCTGCAGGCCCGGCTACAACCCGGCATGCAGACAGGGGCAGCGGGCTGGAGGAGTCCTGTGTGGCGGCGCGGGGTCCGCTCCGGGAGGGTCGGGGAACGGAAAAACGCACAACCCGGAGTCGTTGCTCGACATCGCGGCACGCAGAGTCGCGGAGAAGTGGCCGTTCCAGAGGGTGGAGGAGCGGTTCGAGAGGATCCCGGAGCCCGTCCAGCGGAGGATCGTATATTGGTCATTCCCGAGAAGCGAGAAGGAGATCTGTATGTATTCCTCTTTCAACGCCGGAGGAGAGGAAAGTGGAACTAGCGGGGACAATAATGACGAGACCCAGCTGCCTTTCCTACGGGGTGTCACTCTGCTGGAGGGTGGCTGGGTGGACAACGTATTGCAAGTCGGTGAGTGGACTAAAACGATACAATAACAGAGAAAAAAAACTGATGATACGTGTGACACACAACACGTCTAACTCGCACGGTATGTCTTTTATACTGTGGAACCATGCCAGACTGTTAAAGGGCTTGTGCTAGCCGTCCATTGCCTTGTGAATTATAAACAATGCAGGGTATTTCCACACCAGTCTACCCTATAGCTGTGTGAGAACAGCCTATTTTCAGATAAGCCCGTAATAGTAGCCCACTTCTCCTTGTTTTTGCCCAGTGAGCTGCGCGCATTGAATTGCCCAGAGCCAACCCAATTGGAAGCTTAGCACTTTGTTCCTATTTTTATGTCTTTCCAGCTCTCAATGCCCCCACCAATTGGTACGCAGACAAAAGCCCCCTATATCTTTTCACCGCTGGCTAAATAGACGATATTTAGAAAGGGTGGGAGGGACCGCGATTTAAAGCCACAGTGCTTCTATTTTGTTTGCCAAACACCTTTTGTGAGACAGACTGGAGCTTTTTTTTTTTTGTGTGTGTTGCCTTTCCAATATTCAGCGAAAGCCCATGCTTTATGCAAGCTGGTAAAGGCAAAGATGATTTTTCTCTCAAGCCTTCTGCATTATTTGTGGTAAAGCTCGGAGTAAACAGAGGTGCTGTATAGGCTCAGCAACCCCCTTCCAGCCTGCCTGCCTGCTCCCCTGCCTGCCTCCCTGCCTTGGCTGGCTGGCTGCCTTTTGCCAGAGCCACAATATTTCACTGCAATCGTCAGTGCAATAGACTCAGCTGTCAATCCGACTCCCCACCCTTGGAAACGGTTCAGGATTCTAATCCCATTAACCCCCCCCCAGTTCATCTGAATCTTAATGCATTCTGCAAACAAGATTTTATGCATGATCTTCTTCCTTCTCCCTCCCTCCTTCCCTAACCCCCCCCCCCCTATCTCTCTCTCTCTCTTTCACTTCTTGGCTTACTATCCCTCCAAAGAATCCGTGTGGAGATGGCTTCAGCTCTTGTGGGCTCAGAGAATGTGCAGTGCACAATAGTAGCCATGGAGCAGGCAGACAGGCAGGCAGCTCTCCCTCCCTCTCTGGCCTGTTTACCAGATTCCCCAGCATTAGACTCATTTATGTGCTCACTCTTTTTGAGGCTTTGGGAAGCTAAATACTCAGCACGGGGTAAAATAGAGCACTTCATCAGTGTGTTTGTGTGTGTGTGTGTGTGTGTGTGTGTGTGTGTGTGCTTTGGAGAATAGTGAGAAACAGGGACAAAGAGGGTAACGGGGTTATTTTTCTTTGGCATCACATGTGTTTTTGTGTGTGAAAGAAAGTGAGAGAAAGGAGTGTGTGTGTGTGGGGGTTTGATAAACACAGAGGGGGGATTGTGCATGCATCTGTGCGTGCATGTGTGTGTGTGTGTGTGTGTCTTGGTCTGCACGGGCTGTCAGTCTCATCCTGCATGCTCATAGAGAGTGGAGGATGACAGGCGAGTACACAGCAGGAGAAGCGCATGTTATGCTGATTGCAATTTTCGCCCCAGAATTTTTTTTTTTTTTAAAGCTTGAGTAGATAAAGCCAAGGAAGAGAAAAAAATGATAAATAAAAGATGCAATCTACTCCAGGGGACAGGCAGCCACTGGAGGATGAGGGCTTAAAAGCAGGGCAGCATGGGGGGGGGGGAGGCTGTCAGCCACATCACACACCACATGTATTGGCCCATCAAACACATACAGTGGGTCTGGCCTGGAAAAAAAAAAAGTGCAGGGTGTGTTTGTGTGTGCACACAAGCGTGCATGGCTTTGTTTGGCTTCTCATGTGTGTGCTGTCAGTGGGATGGGATTCAGTGTTGATGATGAAAGACAGTAGAGCAATAGAAGCAGAGGTTATTTTGTATTGTGCGGGGGGGGGAGCTAATATACTTGAATGGATCTGCTGTCGCCGTATTCCTCTCCTCCCCCTCTCATCTCTTCCTCTGCCTCCCCTCTCTCTCTCTCTCTCTCCCAAGTGAGCAGCTATAAAACTCTCCATATTTACTCCCCTAAGGCCAACTACCAGCCCCCAGTCTCCTGTGATTATTTATCTTTTTCTCGAAGACATTAATCACATGCCTTTTCCTTTTTTCCCCTCCTCGATCTCTTTCCGTACATCAGTGCTGCGGAGAGGAGAACGGATAAGGGGGGGGGGACGGCGTTTAAGGGGAAGAGCAATAGATCGGGTGATATCAAGGAAAAGAGGGGAAGCCTAGAGGGAGAAAGTGGGTGGAAAATGCAAAAGAGGAAAGAGGCATTGAAATGGTGATTGCAAGAGAAGGGGATGTATGAAAGTAAAGAATGAAGTGCAGAGAAGGGGAGAGAGTGAGATGGATGGCTTGTTCTTCCTCCCATGCGAGCTCATCTGTTCCAGTGCCAGCCTTCCAGATAAATATTCATATATGAATGCAAGTGTTATCTCGCAGGCCATTGCCTCTCTTGGTATAGCAGTGTTATAACAATCCTGTCGAATCAGTGATGAATTTGTCAGCCACTGACCAGGTAGGGGAACACATACCTGACCTCAACCTGCAGGGAAAAAGTCTGTGCGCAATAATTCATTAAAACCTGCAAATGAATGAATGAAATATGCATGATGCCCCGGAGAACAGTCCCACAACAACTGCTGTCTGTCAGAGAAATTAAATCGTCATGAGCTGATCAAAGGAATATCAGTTTTATCTCACCATACGCGGTATGCAAAGTTTCAATGTACGTTATCTTGTCAATCAGGCCGCACTGTGTCGTAACTGAGCCTTACTTACACGTATAGAAAAACTTCCAGAGCTGCCTGTCCTCATCCCAGCATCTGTTCTCCGTCCCCCCCCCCCCCCCTTGTGTAATTTAGACTCGGCAGCTCATCACGCTGAAAGGAAGGCTAGCATTATGGTGCCACGTCCTCTAATTATAGAATTCTAATCCTATGGCTCTAACATGGCATGACAAAGCATGTTTGCACTTCATTACCCTCCTTCCTGTTTCAGTCCTTCAGTCTGGGTCAAGTTCACCCCCTCGTCTCTCTCTCTCTCTCTCTCTCTCTCTCTCTCTCTCTCTCTCATTCATTTGTGACATGTTCTGTCCTGCTCCTCCTCCTCCTCCCCCCTTTGACCCCCATCACCCCCTTCCCCTGTCTGCCTCCAGGGCTTTGTGCCAGGAGATAAAAAAACAACAACCCCCCCCACCAACACCACACACACACACACACACAAACACACCCCCACACCTCCTCACACTTACTATCCTGTTACCGTAAGCCCCATGTCCCTATGGAGTGACATACTGATGCCTGGCATATGTCGCTCTGTGCAATGTCATTAGCGTCGGCTACATGCTACAGCCAATTTATCCCGCTCTCCTTGTTAGGCTAATTTCTCACATGAAGCTACATGTCATTATATCAAGCTGCTGCCCCAAATCTGAGTGATGAGGATGCTTTGTTTTGTGCGGGTTTAAACTCAACTAGAGCTAATGTAGTAATGCATCATGTAGCCTATTTCGGTGCACTTTGTCCACGGTGATGCTAGAACACATAGCCTGTAATATTTTTGCCTTTCCCTTGCCTGAAATATCTCTGAATGTCCGTGGCAGTCATGCCCGTTTGAGTGTGAATGTCACCCTCCCCTGCCTCACCTATTCCAGAGACGGATATGTCTGAGTGTGTGTGTGTGTGTATGTGTGCGCGCGCATATGTGTGTGTCTGTCTTGTGCTTCTGCATGCTCATAACTCAGGTTAATTTGTTCACGCTCTGGAGAATCTTAATTAGGTTTCTGCGTCATCTACTCTCTCTCTCACCCTCTTTTTATCATGATGTCAATGAAACAGTGAAATAACAACCAAGCCGGTGGTTCCCTGTTTCTTTTTTGTTCTGCAGATGGTGAAAATCATAACAAAGACAATCCTAAACCTTATGCTCTGCTCCACGCTTCAGGTGTGTGCGTGCGTGCGTGCGTGCGTGCGTGCGTGCGTGCGTGTGTGTGTGTGTCATTTTCCATGGGCTTTAAATCACATTTGTGCTTGGTATTCAGGCAGAACTCTGGCAATATCGGGACACAGTTTACAATATTACAACCACACAAATTCAAGAACACCCATAAAACAAAGGAGCTGATCAAACAACAAAGAATATGCTCACTGCTATAGTTTTGTGTGTGTGTGACAAAGCAGTAAGCAGAAATATTTAAGACTTAACACTTGGCATGTTTGTGCAAGAAAACGCACGCATGCACACACACACATTTTTTTTTTGTTTGGAGGAACTAAGAATTCACAAGGCTTTTCGAACTTCTTCTCTAGTATCCACGTTGACATCTCAAGCATTTTGTCCACAAAGGTGCAGAATTTAAGATGGCAAACGTAAAACTTGCATGAGTGTGTTGTCTGCGAGACGCTTATCAGGCTGAGCTGGGTTTCTTTTTTTTTTTTTTTTTAACAGTGGATGAGGGCTTCTTCTTTTTTGTTTGTGTGTGGGCTGTTTCTTTTCATGTGGGTGGATCTGGTTTTATTTTTCCTGTTAGGTTAGAGAGTTCCTTTATCTTTTTTACAATGCCCGTCGAGATTGAGCCCACATGCCTACCACCAAAGAAGGAGAGAGACAGAACCCTTTTCCGAAACATGCTGTCTTTGTGTGTGAAACCAGTATGTTGTAAAGAGGCCTCAAGTTGTGAGTCAGGACGCTAAAGGGTTGCAGACACAAAATGACTCAGGACTTTGAAAAGTACCCCTGAAAAGTCCTTCAGTTTTTTTTCCCTCAAGAATACATTAAACAGAATAATTTTTAAAGGGATTATGGAAAGTAAATCTTAAATCAGACAGGGCGCTTTCACACAAACGTTTCCCATCATTTTCTGGTTTGGGATGACATATCTATCAGGCAAATGGTGCAATCTTCCATATGTGGCGTTTATATACTGAGTTGATACTGTGGGTAGCCCAATGTTACCCGTAGCATTGATATGAAGGCAACAAAAACATATCATTATAGGTGTCAGA